AGGTCCTGACCACCAAGGACCCCGTCACATTCTTGCCCTCAGTGAAGCCCTCCCCGTGGAAGCCGTAAAGTGCACACTTCGCTTCCTGCTCCACAGTCATGGCCGTCCACAAGCTACATACTCTCTTCAGCTCCTACACCTTGTGAAGTTCGTCGCACAGCCAGCGTGCTGCCTCCGGATACGTGTCGAGTGCATCGCGGTGAAATCGATACAGCCTTTTTTTATTTTTATGAGCAGAAGGCACGAGACGCAGTCGACAGTGACAGAAAAGGTTCGGAGGTTTAGTTGCCAGACCAACAGGTCATCTGGATTGCCCCTGCAAAGAACTCAGAAGTAATTTAGACTACCTCTAGAAAGAAATGCTTGCTTTTGCAGAGATTGCTTTCTTAGTTGCTGATTGAACCAGGGATATTGTTGTCATGGACATTGTTTCATTTTACAAATGCTTCAAAGCGTCTTGCCTTCTGCTCCATTTTATTATCTCTTTTATGGTACTTCATCAAAGTTAGGTGATTGTGTTATCTCAAGACAGTGCACATGTAGTTTGTTTTGAAAATTGCTTTATTTCTTAAAGAAAAACCTGTGACTTCATGAATAAAAGTGTGATAACATGAAATGTAATATTTCATTCTTGGAAGTAAAACTGAGCATCGACTGGAACCATGTAAGCAATTGGGCAATCTTAAGTATATATCAGAGATATCTTGTTGAACACTCTGGTCTTATTTGAGCACAATGGTTAAATTTCGAAAGGAAAAAAAAAATATATATATATTCTCTGACTAGCATACCACCTTATAAACACTGGACCACTTTGAAAGAATTATCACAGATGTTGCGCCAAACATTCTTATTTGAGCACAGCAATAGCAAGTTCTCGAAAGATAAAAAAATTGTTTCTGACTAAAGCAGCCGTCACTCGCGCGCTCCCCGTTGGTTCCGTTGACCCCTCCGCTGCCCCCGGCACACCCGGCTCCTCGTGGTTCGACATTTTGGTTTGAAGAAGGCGCGTAGCGCACATCCCGCATAATATTGGAACAACTTTCTCTCCAATTAATTCTTAAATGTATTGCAAAAGGGTACAAAAAAGCGGTTTGTTTTAACAACGCAAAAAAGGTTTTGATTGTTTTTCAATACATTTACCTGTACTAGAACAGATGCGACGGGCAGCGACGCACAGGATTGGTTGCCGTTCCTTCGCTAAACGCAGGAACTGCTCTCCGCGTCGTAGTAAATCCTATCCCGTATCCCGCGCGTAGGGACGCCTCAGGGAATGCGTAGCTACTTCCGCTCGTCAGTGGTTGGCTCCGGACGTCGCTGAAACGGGTGACGGGTGTCAAGTTTGCGATGACGTAGCGGCGTCAAAGTGGGCAGAGCCGCCACGTGAGTGTTGCTAGGATACGCTCCTCCTTTGCATTACGTCATTTCCATGTACCTTTTCTCAAATGTCCAACCTAGCGATCCTGGTTTAGCGCGTTAGGCCTAGCGGGGCGTCCTCCGCGTCGGAATTTCAAACCGCCAGAAAATGGTAAATCCTGGATTTACGATTGAAATTCGGGTGTCCACGGGGTCCACTTGACTAGCGGAGATCGCTGGTATGGTCTGTTTGTAGTTTCGTTCAGGTTTTTCAATGGAAAATAGGTATCGATGCAGGAGGCCACACGAAGCTCGTTCGCTCCGTCCGGTCCCCTAGCGGCCTTCTTGAGCTCGAAATTTAGCGAAGTAATGGCTCGGGAGGTTAATGTTATATTCGGTTTTACGTGCACTTGTTTGGGCCCTCACTTTACAACATTGTGCTTTACCAGTCATGCGTTCTAATATTTCTCTAGGTTGCCATAAATCATCGCGAGACTGCTATAAATACTGTACAACTTTACAATTTGGGCACCTAGTGCTAGTGTTAAGAACATCGCATTTCCCCAGAAAACTGAACTGTTTAACATAGTACGCACGTGACGCCATCACACTATATGCTGGCGGTCATTGCGATTCTTTCTTCCTGAGAAAACCTAATCCAGTGATGCAAAACGCACGCCGGAAGAGGCTCACGCTTAGTGAAAGCCAATTATTTTAGAGGCGTGAACTATTATTCTTAGTGCATCGTCATGAGGAACGGCGCGAGAGTCTAGCACGACGAAAACGCGCTTTTTGGCAAGAGTGTTTTTGCAAACAAAGTAGGTTCTGGGAACACGCTTTCTGGTCTGCGCCGAATATGCGAGGCAGAGGTACCTTTATAACACAGTATGTTTTTAAAACTACACCCCCCCCCCCCCCTTTTTTTTTCTTTTATACAAAATGTTTTGCATTCCTGAGAAATTGCGTCCTCCTTTTGGGTGTGTTAATTCGACAAATATATTTGTCACTTGGTAACAGTAACCCTCAATTGCTTTTATTTTGCCCCCCGTGAAGTTCAAAGGGTCATAAAACGACATCAGGTTGGAATGTTCATGACTTTGCAGAGGCGTACGTACGGGTTCAAGTCTGGCCCAAGTAGACTCGTACAGACCGTCACTGATACGGAAGCTTCTTTGTCGCGGTGAAATTGCGATGATAAAATGAGACTATTTCTTTCAGTCTTGCCTTTCAAAAAAGATTGATGACGTAATTGTGGGATCGAAACCACCCACCTGACGACACTCGAGCACGGCTCATAGATTGGACACGAGAACTGCGTGAGCACTGGACTTCGGCTCGTAACACTCAATGCCTCGGCGGACACTTGGGTAGTGACTCGTGTCCAACCACTACGGTGATGAGAACAGCCGTACTCTAACAATGCCTGGAGCTCACCACGCGTCTTCTTCTTTTCCAACCCCAGCTACGGGGTATGATTAACGTCGGTGGCATATGATAGGCACCAGACCACGTGGCCGCTTCTGGCTCCGAGTTGAGAGAATGAACGATGCTCATATTCCTCTATTTTTTTTTAGCAACTACCATTGCCTAGAAAGAAGAGCTAAAGCAACTTAAATTCGTTATTAACGTTGGGGAGTGGCTCTAAGTAGTATTTAGAGAAGGTAGAAATATCATTTCACGGTTACTTTAAACAAAATACAGAGGTGGTTGAAACTTGGGGAATAACTTGAGAGCGAAGCTCGTGCGACACTTTGAGCGGTTGCTAACGTTCGGCTGTCCCTCTGAAGCCACTATGATCTTTTTTTTTTCTCCAGGTATTCCTCCCGTACACAGATGTAGTTCTATGTAACGTCATAGTAATAAATCAGATTTAGTCATTTTAATGCTTCTATCCTCGGGAAGATCTTTCCGAGGCCGTTCAGCAACAACGAAAACAAGTTTGGGTGCCTCAGTGATGTAAAATAGACCTATAAACCTGTTGCTATATTACCCAAGCATCAAGGAGAATGCAGGGATTGGTGTTCCACGCGCCGCACGTGCTGGCCTCAGCAGTAGCAACTTTTCGAAAGCAAAAACCTAAAACAAATGGCATCTTGCACATCTTGCAGGTGCGTTCGTCAATGCTTTATTTTGGTTATTTACTTCGAATCTTTTTCTACGGGGAAGGCGTGCGCGTGTGGCACGTGGAACAACAATCCCTGCATTCTCCTTGATGCTAGGGTAATATAGCAAATGGTATAGACGATTGCAAGCTGGGCGACTGGCCGCCGCCATGTCTCTGCTCGAGCAGGCACGCCCGTGCGATTACGAGCTTGCCAAAGCTACGTTCACCCGCGCGTTGCACGCGCTTGCACGCATGGGGCACCATTTGTGGCGCCATGCTTGCAATTGTCTATATGACCCAAGCATCAAGGAGAACGCGGGGATTGGTGTTCCACACGCCGCACGTGCTGGCCTCAGCAGTGCCACGGCCGGACCGCAAGCGCGCGCTAAGAGAAAGAAAGGAAGCGCTTCCAGTCCGGCCGTGGCAGCGCTAACTTTTCTAACGCAAATACCTGCAACAAATGGTATCTTGCACGTTCGTTCGTCAAAGCTTTATTTTTGTTATTTGCTTCGAAGCTTTTATACGGCGAAGGCGTGCACGTGTGGCGAGTGGAACACCGATCCCTGCATTCTTCTTGATGCTTGGATAATATAGCAATAGGCATATTGGTCGTGCAAAGTTTTTGTACTTTCAGTAAATACCGTTAAAAAATAATCTCTCACTTTATTACTTGCAAAAACATCTATTAGTTTTTCGCTCTGCGCCATAGCAGATGCAGAAAAACGAAAGGAAAGAAACAGCTGTTCCCTCCTCAATTCGCAATTAGACGAAGCGGCCACCAGATCTGACACTAATTAATAATTATAAACCGCCAGTGTTCATCATCGTCTTGCGCTGGGGGTTTGTAAAGCAAAGAATTTGGGCTGGGCTTCAGATATTGTTAGAGTTGGGATATTATCATCTTTAATTGAATAACAACCGTTACCAGAATATTTGGTGATGCTGATTGTCATAAACCCGAGCACTCGACTCGGGGTTATGAAAATCGCTCACCTAACGGTGTCACATGACTCTCGGTAGAAATCGTGATATCATGTTACGCCGCGATGTCAACAAGGTTAATATATCTAGTGACTTCCTCAAATTAAGTCGATTTGACTCAGTGAATCACGTGACGTCACGGGGTCACGTGGCATTACTTGACAGCAAGTTTTGACATCATGACATCACGTGACAACGCGACACATGATTAATCGTAGGGCTAATGCAAAAGCGCCACGAAAACCTACAAGTGATCACACATTGCAATTCTGTATATGTCGATTTGATTAATACATACAAATTCACCTGGCAGTTTTGTATTCCCGAATATTCATTCTGTAATACTAACAAAAAAGCAAAAAAAAAAAAAAATTACCTTGAACCGTTTTGAACCGGTTACCGTTATATTTTTTTCGCGTTCGGTTCCGGTTCAGTTCCAAGATGGCGGCAAAGATTTCGGTTCGGTTCAGTTCCGGTTCGGCTAAAAATAACGGTTCGGTTCCGGTTTTCGGTTCGGTTCGTTCCCGGTTCGACACCCTGCTCTTAACTCGTTAAAGCAATGGAATCGGGGACATCTATGTTAGAACAAGGTTAAGGTAAAGTTTGTAACCACTTCGAAATTGCGCTTCTGACTTGGGTGAAAAATATAACACGTAGTATAAAGATGCGCAAAATACTAGCCGAAATTGTCCTATGAATTCTCGTAAATCACATCTAAGAGTGAAAGGTACGGATACATGCACAAGCTTTAGACAAAACTAAACTAGCCAGTGTGATCCTGCTAAACATAAGTAAATTAAACAGAAAAAAATATCAGCCTTTATTTTCTACTATTATGCCAAATCTTCCTTGTGTTTTTGTGGATTGTAAAGTATATAGTAAAGTGTAGTAAAACATTTTCAATTTTTTTTTTTCAAAATTAATATACGCATCGCTGAACGCACGGCCTCCTTCCAGATGTAGCGCTAGCGATCAGGAACAAATTCAAAAGGTTCGAAGCTTCTAAATATCTTATTTTTGATTAAGATTATATACATTAACCATTTTTGAAAATTTTATTGGAAAACTTACGGCCGGCCAAGCCCTCTAATACATGGGGGTAAATAGCGCCAGCAACCAAACACGGGCCGCATATTTCGATTTCAGCTGGCAAAAAAAAAAAGAAAAAAAAAAAAAGAAAGATGTTTGCACTTGTTTAATAAGAAAAAGGGCAGTTTTAAATCTTCGGCACCTGGTTCAAACCTCTAGCGCAACATTTATGCAGAGAGTGAGCGTCCCGCGAAGCGCAGTTTAATTTTACAGTAAAATAACGAAGTTAATTTTTTTTCTGGGACGTGCTGTACTTTTCTGGATCTCTAATTTATCTTGATAAAGACAAGTTGCAGTCATGTCGGGGACGTGAAGCTCATCCAAAACTCGCAATCCTCTGCCATAAGCTTTTTTTTTTATATATATATATAGATGTAAGAAGATCTGCTGGGGCATTGTCGTCAGTTGGGTATTCTTAATACTCGAATCATCAAGCGTCATACCTGTTTCGTGTGTTGGCTTATGGGCTGCCTTCTAAAAAAAGAAAAAAAAAAGAAAGAGGAAACAGACTTGGTATAGTTTACATAAGAATATCGTTTTCTTTTGTTTTCAGCTTTCCTTAATATATTGAACGTTTCGGAAAGATCTTGTGAGTATTACACGTTTCTTTCTACCTATAGTATATTTAAGTCTTCTTTAAAATTCTCCAAGTTAATATCTAAGTAAACAGAGTCTATTTTGTCTTCATCTCAATGCGAAATCTTTAATAAAATTGCTTGGATTAACGTATTCACTTCAGCGTGTATTACCCTTTTTGTTTCATATCGGTATCTACATTTAAATAGTATTACATGAGATAATGCATAGAATATAAAAGAAACAACCTTGTACACATTGTATCCCTAGTTAGATTAAAAAGCTAATAATAAATATTCGCCGGAAAACGTGACCTGGGCGTGTGAATTCAGTGGCCCTCATAAAACACAAAAGCAAGTAAACCAAGGACACAGTATGAAGTCCAATGCACACCACCTCTTATTAAAGCGACGTCGTTTTGTTTAGATTTTAGACCTTTTCATAAGCATTTTTCATGATCTCAAGAGTGTGATCTTCTTAAATCAAACTAAAATTACGTTAGGTATTGCATGATGAGCATAAGAAACAACGCAAAAAACACAAACAATTATTAATTGGCAGAAAGGTGGACTAGGTTAAACCAGAAAACAATCATGCACTTGTAGGGGGCAGTAAACATTCTAATATCTGTCCGCTCATTGATTTTTTTATCTCTTAATATTTAATAGTTTCAAAACATATTTTGGTGCACTATTCGCACATCATTTTTAAAATGAAGAGATTATCATCTTTTAAAATAACAGAAAAAAGCTCGTTATAAATTTTTGAAGAAAATTTATTATCGCGCCATAATAACACCTACCCAAGGTTAATGTGGGCTTGCGTACTGAATACATCCTTTTCGTAGTTGAGCTTTTAAGTACCCGAAGACCCTTGCCTCCATCGAGGCAAGAGTCTTCGAGGTTTTTACAGTTCTTTGAGCGTAATATGCCCTTCTTCGTCTTATACTTATCCTTTTGGATCATTAAAAACTGATATTGTCTCCTCAAACAGCTCCATCAAGAAGAGAGGTTGGCCTATACTTTATAGTGGATTCTAATGTCAAACCGGCATTTGGCCTCTCTGTTGGAAAATACGTGAACGCTCTTTTCGGATCAGTAAGTAAACCTCAATTACTACTAGCATTGCTTATTTTAGTGTTTCATCGATATATATATATACACATATCTATGCAATTATTTTCGTCGCAATGCGGTGTCCACTGATATTTGAATATAAAACTGCTTGATTAAATTGCAGCGCTTCCGAAGAAGAAATGCCTGCAAAATGCTAGCTCTAGATTATACCTAGTTTGAATAAAAAATCACTTTTTTTGCAGCTCGTAACCGGAGAGGATCATTATGAGGATTCTCTCTCCCTCAAGGGCGTATATATGACTCGGGTATATAGGAGAGAGATGGGGGGGGGGGGGGGGGGGGCACGTCATTGACACGTGTAACGTTAGCTCGCAAAAGTTCCGATGTAAGGCGAAAGGCGGGCATTCTTTTACCGGTAAATTGAGCGGGCAAGCTTTTTTTTTTCCCTGCTAAATGAAGTGGGCAATTTAATTCATACCCTCAACGGAGTCGGACTCTCGGTCACGTGGGCTTGACAGTAGCCAAGTAATTTTCTACGGTTTTCTACGGTTTTCGGACGGTTTATTGTTTTACGTTTCGGCCGGAGTCCGGCCTTCGCCAGGAAGGCCAGAAGGCAGGAAGGCCTGACGGAGGCTGGACTCCATCCGAGACGTCGAAGAATAAACCTTCCGTTGTTGCTGTTTTCACCAAGGGTTTTCTTACCTTTTCAGTCATATATAGGATGACCCAAATAACCAGGCTCGGTCTAAAATGGACCGTAAAATTCGACGCTTCTACGTAGAAATCTAAACCTTTTGTCGGAGGTGAATTTCACATGTCTGTATTCTCTTGTAAAATTAGAAAGTGTAGTTTCCTTTCTGTAAGAAATAGGGCCAAGGAACTTGCCTGGGTCAACGGCGGGCGGCGACGCAGACGACCTGGACGAGTTACGGGGTGTATTTGGCGCTCGTATTAGTAGATGGCGCTACCTCCTTGTTCCAGCTTGCTTTTAAAGAAATATCGGAAGTGCCCGCGTCGACCGTGGTCTATTAATACAAATATACCCTTTTGAATTCTACCTTTGGCTTTAAAATATATGCAGACAATGATAGCAGAACTTCAAGTCACAAAAATAAAGGAAAACGCGGTTGCATAACGACGGCGCTGACGGCGCTCTTGCTGCCGGCAGATTTCGTCTGTGTGTCGTCTGCTTTCTTTCGCTAGTCCGCTGCAGCCTCCGACGCTGCTCCCGACACCTTTTTGTCATGGTTGGTGGGAAGACAGCCACAATGCGTCACTTTGGATGCTACTTAGACCGCACTTTTGAGAGACGGGAGGCTACCAAAGCGAACTCCAAATAAACAGCAAATAATGGCTCTGTAAAGAGCCTGTCAGCAGAAGCCCACGGTTTTCAAGGTTGTCGAAGGCGATGGTGATATGTGCAAAATTGTTAGATATATGCTCTTCAGTCAACATGTCCACCTCGAATTAAGAGGCAGTTGTGCAGTCTTCGCTCATAATCCCTGAAGGCTGCCTCCCGCATGTTGTCCGTGGTCGCCTCACAACCGGATAGAATCCGCTCTTTTAGTTCCGTCATCGTGCGCACGCGAACTGTGTAGACCTGGGCTTTTACGAAACCCCAAACAAAGAAACCACAAATTCTCAGGTCAGGGGATTATGAGGGCCAGAACATTTCGGTGATTTTCGACTCATCCAGTTGCCGGGAACGGTCCTGTCAAGCTAGCTGTCACTGTTGTGGCTAGTGCGGGGGCGCTTCCTCTTGCTGGAAGATGCGCAGCCCCCTTTAAATGTGCAAAGCTTCCCGCTCCGGCAAGACGTCCTGTTGGAGCATGCGAAGGTAGGCGTCGCCGGTGACCATGCCCTCAAAGAAGAATGGACCGACAACACCTTTTCTTCAAAGTCCACACCATACTACGACCTTTGGTGACTGGACAGCCTTTATAATGATTCAGGGAGGGTTTGTCTCGGACCAGCAGCGGGTGTTCTGCTTCTTGACGTGCGCGTCCAGATGGAAAATAGCTTCATCCGTGAAAAGCAGAAACGGAAGGCGGCTCCTGTTTGTGGGGATGCGCCCAATTTCGTCCAAAAAGAACTGCTTTCGCCGTTCATAGTCATCTGGCTGCAGCTCGAACAGGACATGTGGCTAGAACGGATACATTTGTTTGATGATCTACCTCCTGACAAACATTTTACTGATACCAAGTTGTCTTGGGACTTGTCGCACGGACAGCCATGGGTTCAATGCAAATACCCCAAGCACGGCGTGACGCTTGACCTGCTGCGGCGACCTCTCTTCAACTACTCACAACCTGGTCTGCACAGTTTTCTCTGTGTTGAATCGGTGTACCCAGTGCATGACGGTCCGATGGGTGGGTGGACGCCTATGATAAGTGGCTCGAAACTTCGAGCTCACTTGCCTCATACTCACGGTTTCTGTAAACCAAAGGACTACCTGTGCCCTCTCTTGGACAGTCAGGTGACGCATTGTGGCTGTTTTCCCACCAACCGCGACAAAAGAGGTCTCGGGAGCAGCGTCGGAGGATGCAACCGACCAGCGAAAGGAAACAGACGGCACTTTGACGAAATCCGTCGGCAGCAAGAGCACCGTCAGCGCCGTCGTTATGCAACTTCGTTTTCTCTTATTTTTGTCACTTGAAAGTTTGCTCTTATTCTCTGCATTTATTTTTAAGCCAACGGTAGATTACAAAAAGATTATGTTCGTAATAATAGACCACGGTTGACGCGATAATTTTCAATATTTCTTTAAAAGCAAGCGGGAAGAAGGAGGTAAAGCCATCTATCAATACGAGTGCCAGACACACCCCGGAACTCGACTTGGTCGTCTGCGTTGCCGCCCGCCATTGCCCGAGGCAAGTTTCTTGGCCCTATTTCTTACAGAAAGGGAGGAAGCTGCGTTTTCTGGTTTTACAAGAAAAACCTAACGTGTGAAATACACCTTTGACGAAAAGTTTAGATTGCTACGTGCCGGCGTCGAGTTTTAAGGTCCCTTTTAGAACACGCCTGGTGACTTGGGTTACCCTATACATATATATGGTGTCCCAAGTCCCCAGGCTCGATCTAAAATGGACCGTAAAAATCGAAGCCTGCACGTAGCAATCGAAACTTTTCGTTAAAAGTGTATTTCACAGGTCGGTTTTTTTTTGCAAAATCACAAACCGTAGCTATCTTTCTGTGAGAAATAGGGTCAAGGAACATATATGGGTCAACGGCTTATGGCTACGCAAACCACCCAGTCGATTAGCGAGGCGGGTTTAGCGCTCGATTTGATAGATGGCGCTACCTCCTTATTGAGACTGGTTGCGACCATTGTGGCTTATTAAAATGGACATAATCTTTTTGTAATGTACCTTCGGTAAAAAAGTAAACGGGGACAATGAAAGCGAGACTTAAACAAGAAAGGAAACGCGATTGCATAACGACGGCGCATTTGCTGCCAACATATTTCGTCTGCGTGTCGTCTGCTTTCTCTCGCTGGTCGGAAAGACCTTCAGACTCTGTTCCCAACGCCATTTATCAATACGCGCGCCAAACGTACCCGCCACTCGACTCGGTCGTCTGCGTCGCCGTCCGCCTTTGACCCTGGCAAGTTTTTTCTCCCTATGTTTTACAGAAAGGGAGGTAGGCTTTGTGATTTAACAACAAAAAAAGACATAAAATACACCCTTCACGAAAGGTTTAGATTGCTAGGTGCAGGCGTCGTTTTTCACGGTCCATTTTAGATCGAGTCTGGTGACTTGGGACACCCTATATATATTGGGTGTCCCAAGTCACCAGGCTCGATCTAATATGGACCGTAAAAATCGACGCCTGCACGTAACAATCTAAACTTTTCTTGACATGTGTATTTCGCAGGTCGGTTTTTTTCTTGTAAAATTACAAAGCGTAGCTCTCGTTCTGTAAAAAATAGGGCCAAGAAACTTGCCAGGGTCAACGGCGGGCGGCGACGCAGACGACCAATTCGATTAGCGGGGCGGGTATGGCGCTCGTATTGATAGATGGCGCTACCTTCTTATCGAGACTCCTCGCGACAACCGTGGTTTATTAAAATAAACTTAATCTTTTTGTAATCTATCTTTCGTTAAAAAATGAATGCGGACAATAAATGCAAAACTCAAAGGAAAAAAAAAGCGTTTGCATAATGACGGCGCTTTTCCTGACAACGGATTTCGTCTGCGTGTCATCTGCTTTCTTTCGATATGGATATGGATATGGATATGGTGGCTTAACCCTTTGTATCGGGCGATCACAGTTTTAACAAAACTGGATCTAGCCAAAAAGAAAAAAAAAAAACAAACCTAAATTTGATTGCCATTGCCCCCCACCCTCCTCACAGTTTTCCCCCACCAGTCCTCCAGTCTTCGCTTTGCGATTTCAACCACCCCGAGGCCGCCGACATCCCCCCGCAGACTGCGCTGGCCACCATGGTCTCGACTTCCCACCTCATTGATGCACGTCGTTTGCGTCGTCTGCCCCTGCCCTGTCGATGGTGTCGGTCCCAAGTCCAACCTTTTCAGACCCAGTGCAACCGCATAATCCACCAGATCTGGTGGCATCAGCGGTCTCAGCTCTCGGCACTCCATTATGATATGTTCAGCTGTCTCCTCCTGCTGGCCACATAGCTGGCATGTACCGTCCATCCCCGGCGTGTACTTGGACCTCAGGTGGCGTGTCCTCAACACTCCACTTCGTGCCTCGCACAGCAGCCCACTGCCCCTCGAGTTGTCGACGAAATCCACGCCCACAATGCTCTTTTTTTCCGCACCGTAGACGGCGAGGGACGGCCGCGCGCCTACCGCGGCGACCCATCTGGTCGTTTCTGTCTCCTTCACGCGTTCCCGCACCTGTTTCGCCGTCCCCGGAGATTCGACCTCGCACAGCAGCACCCGTGGCACGTCATATCGCTCCGTGAGCTTGTTCACTCTCCTTACCCACCGGGTGTTGATGCTTCGAAGGTGGATGTACTTGAACACCTGGCGAGCCCATCGTTGTTCCGGCAAAGTGCAAAGCCGCCGCTCGAAAATCAGTTTGCTGCTGGCCTCACGGGCCTCAAAGCAGGACCAACCCATGTCGCCCTGGACGTACTCACTGGTGGTGTTTCGGTGTGTTCCCAGCGCCAGGCGACCCACCTCTCGCTGCCTCACTTCCAGATGTTCTCGTGTACGTGCCGACAGGCACAGTACGGCATTGGCAAAGGTCAAACCCGGCACCGCCACCATTTTCCAGAGTGCCCGCACCGTCTCGTATCGGCTGAAGCTCCAGATTCCCCTGCATCCCAGGTAGCCCTTGCGTTTGTTCGCCGTGGTCCGCAGCTCGGCCTCATGTTGTTCGAGGTACTTTTGTCCCGACTGCAGCGTCACTCCCAGGTACTTATATTCGGTCCTCCACTCTATCTCTTGGCCCTGGATGTTCACTCTCTGCGACAGCTGCGTAGAGGCATCCTCTGTTTCCTGTTGCTCCACCCCCGCCCCAAGGGCTCCAGACTTGCTGGGGTTGAACGTTAGCCCCAGGGTGGTTCCCTCTTTTCCACAGATGTCCAGTAATTCCTGAAGTTCCTCCAAGGACCCCGCCATAAGTACCACGTCATCTGCATAAATCAAGGCAGGGATCCTCTGATCCACTTGCCTCCCCTCTTCACCGTAGCACATCCTGAAACCCAAGCGACTGTCCTCCAGTGCTCTCTCCAGTCCTGCAATGTACAACATAAACAGAAGTGGTGAAAGCGGGCACCCCTGTCTTAGTCCTTTTGTGGCCTTTATGGGCTCAGTGAACTCTGCCCCCCACTGAACCACTACGCTGTTGTCGCTGGTCGGCTACACCCAACGCTGGCTACCCTTCAGACACTGCCCCCGACGCCATCTATTAATACGCGCGCCAAACGCCACCCGCCACTCGACTCGCTAGTCTGCGTCGCCGTCTGCCGTTGACCCTGGCAAGTTTTTTAGCCCTATATTTTACAGAAAGGGAGCTACGCTTTTTAAATTTACAAAAAAAAAAAAACGGCCTGTGAAATACACCTTTGACGAAAGGTTCAGATTGCTAGTGCAGGCGTCAATTTTTACGGTCCATTTTTGATCGAGCCTGGTGATTTGAAACACCCCATATATATGCGCGCGCGCGTGTGTGTGTGTGTGTGTGTGTCTGTGTGTTGCCGTGCGTGACCGGCTAGGTCTTCCATAACGCGAAACCTGTGAAGTCGGCTCTCTGTTCTAAAGCTTTGCGCGATTGCTTCGAAGACATTGCGATGAAAGACATCGCTCGCGCAAACGTCAAGCACTTCGTGCTTGACGTTTGCGCGAGCGATGTTTTTAGCCACGAGAAGGGACGACAGCTAGGCGACGTCTTTGTGCAACCGACTTGCTGGTCGGGCGTGTCGTACCGGATGAATATCAATTCGTTTGATAGGTCCCAAAGTTCTCTTTCGAGGGAAGCAGAATTCGCCGGTACCGTGAACGATAGTTCTGAAGTAGAGGTCCCACGCCCGTCGTCCGCTGCCATCTGCGAGTCCCACGACACGCGAAACGACGCCATGTTGACAATTATGCAGTGAACCCACAGAATGCATCCGGTTGTCTGTGCAACCTTTTTTTTTTTTTCAATCAACGTATTTGCAGCTTTTTGGAAACCACAAAAAATGGGTTTCATTTTTTTTTTTCTGTTTCTAGTATTGAATGTGTGCCTTCGATAACCCATGAACTTTGATTAAATTTGGTAGTCACGTCTAAACCTTAGAAAACGGCCCGTGACAACGGAAAAGAGAGTGAGCGCGACTCAAACCGGCCAGTTGTCGATCGGAGGTTTTCGCGCGGAAAGAAACGAAATTTCGAGCCTCAAATTCTGTTTTCGGTAGTTGGGCTTTCATATGGCACGTACTACTAAACACCTAGGCGAGCATAAATACCCTGCCAGTGTCCCTTTAAGACCTCAGTGACACTTAACTGCACTGCGGGATGCCAGTGTAACCAGGGTATAAGAAATGTGAACTCGACTGTAATTACTTCGTCATTTTCACTGTAACGTTTATGGTTTGTTACATTTTAGGTTTGGAATTACATGCAGCACCAGAAAAACAACGTCCCCTGGTTGAACCTCGTAGGAATTCATGAGGTTTGTAAAATACCACATAATGAACGCGGATACTTGAATTATTCGCGTTAGCACGAAGTCAGTTATCCACTCTACCGCACTATTCCGCTGCACAATTTGAGCCTTTGATATTTGAAAAAGTGTCGGCAGTTGACGACAGGGAAAAAAGGAAGCAACTGTATTTTTACTTGGGTGCTTTACATACAAAACATTTCTTTATTGCAGTCTCACGTGACGTGCTCCCGGCTTGATTTCTTGCCGGACGTCATGTTGATCAAGTCTGACTTTATGCAATTGTCTGCTGGGAGGGAGATATTTTTTAGCACTTTATTTTTTTTTTCTTGTGATCTACTGCGTCTGCCGTAGTGGTCGGCGACAAAAAGCAAGATTGTCTGGTACCCTACATGCCGGCAGCCGACAAGTCGACCCGTCGCGACTAAAGCGACCCAGTTATAGTCCGTTTAAACCCAAGAATGGAGGTCGAGGGTAAGACGGGCCGAGGAGGAGGAAGCAGACGGAAGGAGGTTTCCCCCTCTCGTCTCCAGCACTCTGTCTGCTTCCTCCTCCCCAGCCAGTCTTACCCTCGCCCTACCTTCTTGAGTTGCAACGGACTATAGATGCCAACTGTACCAACGCTGGCCTTAGATTCACCGTAAAGGTGAATCTAAGCGGAGCAGAGTAAGGCAACGGTCTCCCGATTTCTGACCCCAAGTATCGCGGGAAAGGCGACCGTGGGACGACATGAGGCGGCGTTTCAACGCGCTGCTATCCCCAGTCGTCGTGCCGTCTGCTTGTACAGACGGCCGCCTTAAAACATCCCTTGCGTATAATAAAAAGAACGCAATTACGCGTGTCTAAATGGAACCCACAACATCGGAAGCACGATGTCGGAAGGTTCAATAAGCTTGCTGTTCGCCAGACTTCAGTGTAAGGTTTACATTTCGCGACCATAGAGTGAAAAATGTGTCGCGCTTGAAACCCGGCGCTCCGCAAGCGGATGATTTCCTCGCAAATGATGCGGTCCAATTTGGCGCATATGACCCTTTCTCCGCCAGTTATGGGTTGGCGACAAAAAGAAAAGAAAGGCGATACTTTGAATCCGCCATTTAGTAACTCTAAATTGACCGGGACGTCTCCGAAAAACTGAAATTACAGTAAGGGCCGGTTGCACCAACGCCGCTTAGCGCAAAGCGGGGCTTAGCCGGGAACCTAAGCTAAGTTTGGGTTTCGTTCGGTTGCTCGAAAATCGCTTATCGCTAAACCTAGCATTAAACTACGCTTATGGTAAGCGCTCAACATTGGGCGCTTTGCTTTCGGTTGTTTCTTAATCCTGGATTTAAAACATGGCGGCTGGTTTGTGGTGGTCGACGCGGTGGACGAAATTGGTTGTACAAAGCGTTTTAGGCTACATCAGCGTGAGAGTCTCGACAGAATGACCTTCGATTGTGACAAGGATACAAAATAGTTTCGCGTGAAGTGTTGATCGACCCTTATTTTCAAGTTGGCTGTTCACTCCCAGTGCTTGTTAGCCTTAATTGAACAATTACGGAGCGGTGGGGCTCACGGCTCTCTTCCCGTTGGTTATTCTGCCAACGAGCTTATTGGTATGTATACTTACTGATTTTCGGATAACTGTAACGTATTGTTATTTACCACCTTGTTTATTTCTACTTGCAGAGCATATCCTTCAATCCGATCAGCGCGTTGAATAGTGGCAGTACATGATATCGGCGATCAGCTGATTGTCGACACTTATGCCGTTAACATCAGATTGCGGTGCTTTTAAATAATAAAACAGCGAAAATTCAAGTTCTTTCGTTTTCTGAGTTTCGAGATAATCATCAGAGAATTTTCCTTGTTTCGCGAGTGGAATCTTGGCTTTACAAAACTTTATCGTTCCATAACCGTAACTTTTCCGGTGATCGCGCTTTTTAGGAATATTTTGCTTTATATCTTTCATTCGTGGCGACGACAAATCGTAACGGCTAAAATGCGAGATTCGTTCAGTGCTGTTTTGGGACAGGCTGAACGAATATTAATTTATTGCTGATATGCTTATTGGACACATTCATATCAGTTGGCCTTATGTTGCATATCAGTTCTTATATGCTGCGTATCAGATTTTGGGTATTTGATATCAGTTTCATATATCGCATATCAGTTTTTTGATATTTCCTATCAGTTTCATATGTCGCATATCAGTTTTTGGATATTTCATATCAGTTCTTATATAGATTCATATAATTTTTTTAGTAGGGAAGTTCCATACGTGTAAAAGAAACCCGTTTCCGTTACAGTTAAAATTTTGGGACGTATCATTACATATACGTTGCATTTGCATCTTGCTCATTACCATATTTGCTTATACTGAGGAAAGTTTCCTTTCTTCTTATCTATCCCATCAAATGGGAGCATACGAATTTGAATGCCGTGATGGAAGCGCAGTAGGAGAAGAAAACAAGCGGAAGCAGGGTTTCAGTTTTTGATTTATTCACCTTTAAAAATCTCAGCTTTTAACCATACTCATGTTTGTGGTGGGCGATTCAAACGAGAGAAATGTTCTGTTACACCACATTCCACGAGCGTTTTACAACAACCTCACACGTTTCAACCTAACAAAGTCCCTTGTTCGAACTTTACAACTGTTGCTACTCATTGTTGCTGTCCGCAAACGATCAAGTGAAGAAAAGGGTAGGTCTTGAACACTACAAGTCCTTCTTCCTGACGGTTGGATTGGTTGTTCAGTTTGAAGGTGGGGGACACGGGTAGAAGGAATGAAAGTTATTTTTATTTTTCGATGCACGTGCGCAACAGAAAAATACGTGGAGGACCTTTATATGGGACAAGTAATGTCATTTTCTAGTCAACTATCTGGTATTTGTGACATCAGGTTTCGTATCTCACCGGAGCAAATCAAATAACATTTTGACAGTTTTTGAACTATTTTTTTAACGCGATAAAGCCACCTTGTCCTCGTGCCTTTACCTAAAGGAACAGTGACACCCCCCAAAAAGTTTTTTTCATTATTTGCCTGGCGATTTATTATGGTGTCAGAAAAAACCTCAATCAATATTTTACTACATTGTCACGTATATTTTTAATAAATTCAAAAAGGGCAACCGCCTGAAATCGAAACTGGACTTCGTAGGAAGAAGAATTATAGAGGAGGAGAAAGGTATCAAAATTCACGTGTTTGCGACACTCCCCCCCCCCCCCCCCCAAAAAGAAACAAAAAAAACAACAAAAAACAACAACAACAACAACGCATTTGCAGCTTTTTAGAAGTCACACAAGATGGGTATCATATTTCTTTCCTATTTTTGATATTTTGTGCCTGCCTTCGATGACCTATGACTTTGATTTATTTGGTGGTTGTGTCTAAACCATTAAAAACGGCACGTGGCCACGGAGAAAAGAGTGAGCGCGACTCAAACCGGCCAGTTTTCTATCGGCTGTTTTCGGTCTGAAAGAAAACGAATTGCAAGCCTCGAATTGTGTTCTGGGTATTCGGGCTCTCATATGTAATGTTCAAATTAAAACCTTGTCGAGCATAAATACCTCGTCAGTGTCCCTTTAAGAAGAAATCTGGTTTCAGAAAATGACGTAACCAAATGTCCCAAAGTAAAGGACCCTCAACGTTCATTTTTTGTCAGGGCATCGTGTTTTCGGTATGTACCAATAAAAACCGAATAGTAACCCTTGTCGTTTTTATTGATGTCGGTGAAAACCTAAAAAACTCCGAAGTATATTTTTTTTTTCAATAAGAAAACTCAAGTTTCATGGGAAGAAAATTTTATCGGCAGCTTTATTTTGTGTTGACAAAAAACAAAGCCACAGCTGAACTTTTTAAGAGGCTCATTTTTCGGAGACACCCCGTGTCATTTTTTTTTCTATTTTACACGTGGGCAGTTTTTCGGTGTTTGAGTTAAGCACATTCCCTCTGCTGCATGTAACCGCGCCAGTTTTATCGATAAAAGCCCCGATACACGCGGATTTTATAATCGATACCTTAGAAAACCGACTCTGAGAAAATAAACCTGCCCCGATTCGAGGAGAAATAAAATCTGAAAGGACGGAACTTAGCATATATTAAATGTTTGTGAGCTTCATTTCTCCCGTAATTATTTCGTGTCGCAGCAGAGTTTTTTTTACACTATTTTGTGTTTTTTTTTGTTTTTTTTATGCAACACTCAGTTAGAAGAATCAATGACGGAAAGTTTGCTTGTGAACTCTGTGGAACATAATATGATCATGGAGCAAGAGCGTGGGTTGCTTGTAAATCATGCAATTGATCGCTTCCACAAAGTGTATCAAAGGAAAGATACAACAAAGATACCTCACGCCTATATCGTACTTACAAGGTAAGTAATTTTTGTTTAAACTCATATTGCCGCGCGCCAAGTAGGCAGCGCGGCCGTAGCCTAATGGTTATCGCGCTTGCCTCCCACGCGAAGGGCCAGGGTTTGATTCCTGGCCGCGACTATGCATTTTTGTTAACACTGTAATGTGATGATCTGGTGAAATCAAGAACCGTCTAGCTGATTAGAGGTCAGAATGTTCTACGCGTCGAACCTTCTACGTCGAATGCTCCAGAAGCCAACGTGTGTACAAAAGCGGCTCCGCGGGCAAGCCGGAGCCAGTCTCGCCCCAGCGTTCGACTCTGCTACCACGCCGACTTCGACGCCCGCGACGCTCTATTATTATCTTTTGTACTTTTTTATTTTTGGCACAAGTTCGCCACATTAAACGTTTATTTCCTCCTGTTTATGTATTGTCTTTTTAGTCACCACCCGTGACAATATGTCGTCTAATTGTTATGATCGCAATTGTCTTCAGTGATATTCATTAACTTTGTAAAACCATGCACACTCCCTTGTTTTTCAAAGAAAGAATGGCCTGTGGTGGAGATGCGGAAGCAAATAGTTTTTTCTCTTATGTGTGTCTGTTTTTTTTTAAGCTAAAGTTGGTATTTTAGGAGTGCTGACCTCATTTCGGAATATATACCAGGAGGGGATAGTACATTGTATAGTGCACACGTGGTTAAACAAATGTGGAATCAAATGTCGTACATACGTAATAGTAATATAGAAATTTAACAGCCAAAATTTCTAGGACACCTAAGCACTTATGAGTTGTGAATGCGAAAGCATTGAATGTCCAATTGAACGCCATTGAGTGCTCCTCGCTGGTGACTGGTTGAGACAGCGGCAGGAGTGCGAAGCTCGGCGCGGCGCGTGCTGAAATCAAGTGTCCTCTCAATATCATCGTCGCCCTAGCTGCGGGTACCGCTTGGAGACGTTAGACCTCAAAGCGCAACGTTAGACATAACGTTAGGCCTAACATAAGGCCAGCGCATACCCGTCTCCCTCCCTCCCGGAGCGGCGCCTGTGGTTCGACTGGCTCCAATTAGCAACGATGATGCCTTTGCTATGGAGCCACATGACGCGTCGCAGCCAATACAAATTTAGGTGCCGTTTTTTTTTGCGTTTTGACGATCTCTAATTTAACGTTTATAGTTAACAAAAGGCAACAGTTACGACACTTTTACACTTCAATTCACTGTGCACTACAACCTGATTGAGCCAAGCTGATTGGGGTGCCTTAGGAACTTTCTTAGAGGAAGGGTAGAGTTCCCTAGCAATGGCATACGTGAGAACAGTGAGAGCAATCTTCGTGTGTCTGATTTTGTATTTCTTTCTTCAGCGTCGCACAGAGTTTGCTTTGCGCGATTTCGATACTAAAGACGGCCGGTGTCGAGGCATCCCATCCAGTGTTGCCAATTTAGCGGTTTTCTCGCTAATAATTGCGGTTTTCGCCGCAATTATTACATCTAGCGGATGGGGGGATTTTTAACGTTTTGTTTGTTGTCAGATTATGTTAGAACATGATGAAAAATCACGCACAAATAGACAAGGACGAAAGGGGAAGGAACACAGAACACAGACCGGCGTGTTTTTTCATCGTGTTCAACATTTATCAACTCTACCACTTTAGCACTTTACCACTTGACTACACTTAGGTTAGAACTTAATCGAATTAGGTTTAGCTGTGCGGTAAGTCATTGGATCGTCATTAATGATTTCTCAACTATTCTGAGTAAGAGTAATGCCTGCGACCTCATTTGGATATTACGATCGCGAACATTGAAGCATGCATAGATCCAGTTTGTACGAGACTATATGAAGGCGTCTTCCAGTCCGTCAGTCAAAATGGGGCGATTGAAGTATGCAGAGAAATTAAAAAAGGGGTACTATATAGAATTATGAAAATCGAAGCTGGTTACTAAAAGCTGAAAGCAACATCAGACGAGTTATATGGGTTTACTGAGAAAATAAAACTTTCTCTAAAGCATGAGAATTTGGCCGCTAAAGATCTGAACCATCACCAAACGTTGCACAAAAGAACGGAACAATGGAAGTGTACTCCGGCCGGTGTGGCAAAGCCCATTAAGATGCAATGAACAGCGCATTTTAAATGTAAGCAGTCTGAGTCAAAAAGACGACCCCTTTACAAGTCGAATATTTTAAAATTTTTACTGTCTCCAGGATATTTATTTAAATAAATTGAATTAAGCTGGATTAAAAGAAAAAGAAAAGTATCGAGTTTTTCTGCTCAAAAATAAAAAAAAAATATATATACGAATTTTGAAAAACAGTTAGAAACCTCTAAGTTTTAGGTGCAGAGAAAGGACCTTTCCCTGCACCTGAAATTTAGTGGTTTCTAACTGTTTTTTTAAGTTTGTATTTTTCTTTTTTTTAATTCTTTGAGCAGACAGACTTGATCCTTTCAATACCAGGACTCCCCCTCGTGAGTACGGCCCCGAAGTCTCAGTTCTGTCACTCAGTGAGTCCGAAGTTGGGTTGACGGAGACAAAGTTACATTAGAAGAAAATTTCTCACTCCTTCAGCTGGGAAAGGTGGCGGGAGGAGCATACGTTTTTGGTTTTAGCCTGGTGATAGTCACAGGAATGAATTGGGCTTAGGAGGGTGTTATGCTTTATAAGATTTTAGTGTAGCTGGCGCGAGGCACATACCGTTATAAAGGATACAACCGTTAATATCTTTTCATCCATTCATAGCCTAGAAGAGCGCAACGTATGACGATTGTGAGTATGCACCAGCGATGGGTACCTTTCTTTGAGCACGCCCTGCTACACATTAGGCAGAGGAGTTGCATTCGCTATTTTGGCTTCGTCGGAATAAGTTTAACACGCTTGCAAAATATAAAGCTTATTGTTTTTTTTTTTTCCAGGCATCCCATATACAATCACGAGGGGGTGCAACTTGACGGTGAGTACTCAAATTCTTTTAGATACTTTTATAACGTTTCGATCAAGGTGTACAGTGCTCTCTATTCAAACTGTACAGCCCCGAACAAGTCTTATACAGTCCCTCGCAAACGAGTCTGATACAAGGTCCTCACACTTCACGGTTGCAGTCTACTGACTTCATAAATAAGCATACTTGGTAAATAGGTAGGAGCGTTTATTTTACTTTTTTTTTGCATTAGGAAATGCCCCGGTGAGAGGGTTTAGGGTACAAGAGCGCGGGACAGGGGGCCTCCATTCTTATTTTTGGCCCGGTTGGTGCGACGGCGCCAGAGGATAGATCTGCGGTAGGTTTAGGAGAAAATGTGAAAATAACATTGCAACCACACTCGCGCTCTTGCTTCTTATGCTTATTGCACATTTTCGCTATTGTTCTTATGCTTATTAAAATCACTTATGCACCCGCCACGTTCCGCCACGCTCACCTATTGGAAGAGGGCCGAAATTAAGCTGCAACAGGAAGATTTCCGCAGACTATGTCACCTCGAGAGCGAAAATCGGGGAGGGTTTGAGGCCCAGCTTAAAAAAACTCAAGGACAATATCGCGCAACTGGAAGCAGAGAAATATAAAGGTGCACTGATACGGTGCTCCTGCTGAGAAATACCATTCTTGGTAAATAACCAACCAAACGGGCATTAAGTGCCGATGTAAAATATGTAAAGGGTAGAATAATTGTAGAAACAGAACACGGTGGATTGCTGAGCAGTCGTCCCGATCTCATGGAAAAGGCATTTACTGATTATAATTGCAACCTCTTCGCGTACAAAAGACACGGCAGCGACTTGCAGCTTGCTGATTATCTTGTGGTGAAGCCGCGGCTGAGCGACGAGATAAAGGGGCGGCTGGAAGAGCCGATAAGCGTGGATGAGGTCGAGAGAGCGACTGACGAACGGCCGACAAAAACAATTTCCGGGTCCTGATGGCTTTATTGCAGCTTCTTATGAGAAATACGAGCCTGTCACAAGCAAGCACCTTCACGCAGTAATAAATGAGGCACACGAGACGAAGCAATTACCACCGTCATTTCTCAACACAGATACGGTACCTATTTCCAAGGAGGAGGAGAAATATAAGTTAAAAAATATGAAGAATTATACCCGTGCCACACGGGCAACTCGAATGTTATTGACAACGAATGACATTTGAGCGGACGGTCAATCAGCGCGCGACACTCCGGGCGTAGCGCATTGCACGCGCGACAGATTGCGAGCTGATTTACCGATCACACAAATGTCATTCGTTGTAAATGGCATTCGAGTTACCCGTGTGGCTCGGGTGTTACAGGCCAATAGCATTTGGTAATGTCGACTATGAGGTAATAATGAAAATTTTAGCCCGTCGATTGGAAGACGCCATAAGTGAAATGGTAGGAGACCATCAGACCTGTGGTATTAAAGGAAGGTATATTTCGACAAATGCTCACGTAGCAAGGAGTATACCAGAGCTTTGCGATGAAGATCAAGATCAGAATGCCATGATCTAAATTGATCCAGAGAAGGCGTTTGACCGAGTGCAGCATCAAGTGCTTTACAAAATATTAGAGTATGTACGATAAGATAAACTTTTAATCAGCTTTGTTCAAGTGGGATACACCGGGTGCACTAAACAGCTTATAATGAACGCAAGCCAACCACTCGTATTAGTGTTACCTCTTCAGTTAAACAAGGATGCCATTTATCGCCATTGTCATTTATTTTTTATTTAGAGCCGTTTTGTAGCAATGTAATGCAAACTAGTAAGATTAGTGAGTTCTGCATTCATAATATAGAGGTCAAACTGCTGTCGTATGCAGACGATGTTGGTATATTTTGTAAAGGGTAGTATTGCCGAAGCTGCGCGGGAGGTGAAATTGTACTGTGAACTGACGGGAGTGGCAGTTAACTGGCAGAAGTGTTGTGGCCTCCGGCACGGTGCATGGGCCTCGACACCCGACGTTTTTCAGGACATAAATTTTATGTCCACGCCGCCCAAGTATCCGGGTGTTCCCCTACAACATTACAATAGGTTTAACGCCTATAGTCCGACGGTAGTTAAGGAAATGCACGAGACGGGGCTGGTAAATGGGGATGGTGGGAGATGTCTATCTTTACGCGCCCCACTGTTTGTAATTTTTTTTTAGCAGCTAAATTTTGGTACGTTTTTCATATTTTGGCATGACGCTCGAGTAAACTTGCAAAAGCTACATCGTATCTTTGTTGTGTCCACCTGGCTGATCGGGTGAGAAAGATATATACTATCGCGATAATCTGTTTCGCCGCGTGAGTAAACGTGGGCTGTCATAATCATATCTGTTCATCAAGCAGATATTTTCGCCTTTCATGTTCCTTGGAGACCAAATTAATCATTGTCTTCGAGTTATCATCCAAACAAGACCTCCACAGGAACTGCCTTCTTTTGTTGTTTCCTCGTACTGTCGCCAACTGTGTAGAATTTGTAGTTTGCTGAAGGAAGAGGTAGGCGCGTGTAGATTTTTTCTGTCCGTTCCTTTAGGAAATATTTGTCCACTGTCTCGCGCAAGCGATTATCGCGTGGCAACAATGAAAGTGTCTTCCCCGAACCGGTGCAGCGCTCTATGTTCCCTGCAGGACCAGGACAGGTCATTTTGTGCAGGGTTAAAAAGATGACCATCCAGCCTTCTTTAAAAACATTTTGCTTTCAACTACACGCAAGCACGCTTCCAGTAAAACTTGGCTCGATCAGAAAAATATTTTTGTATCATGGGCTGTTCACTGCATTCCATGCAAAAAGCCTGAAACTCTAGAAGATATATTTTTAGACTGCTGGGATGCCTTTATTTTTTGGGATGTTATTCAGCGAACTCTTAAAAACAGACTTCGTTCTATCGCCACCCGGAATTAGGTTCCTCCCTGTAGAAAAACGGGATGATATCCCTGTTAAACTGGTTATGCTCTTGGGCCTGCATGCCATATGGCAGAGCAGAATGGCTGTGCGGCACGCTGATGCTAAGCGCGCCCTGTACGATCGTATTTTATAGAAAGCGTCCTCCACAGACTGAAATCGGTGCACGCCACGATGGTCTGCCCTCCAGATTCGGTGCCCATTCTTGATGTTTTGGAGAATGTAAAGGAATTTTAAACTTTTATGGGCGCGCACCACTCGTCGTGCATGCGATTTTAACATTGTGATTGTTTTTGTATTTTCTCGTCCAAGCAGACAATAAAAAAACTTAAAGAAAGCACGCCTGTGGCATAATGGTTATCGTTCTTGGCTTCCACGGAAAGGATCCAGGTGCGATGCCTGGGAGAGGACGAGCGCCTTTTTGTTATTTTGGTAAATGTCGCGTTCTGAAATACTCGAGAATTCTGTTGCTTATTCGAGGTCTGAATGTTATACGCGCCGAACCTACTAAGCCGATTGTTCCAGAAGCCCACGCGTTTACATAAGGGGCTCCACGTCATGAGCCGGTGTCAGTCTCGCCCCAGCGCTCGATCCTGCTGTGCTGTCGCCATCGACGCCTGTCAAGCTAGCCTTTCTTCTATTTTTGTTTAGGGCTCAAGTTCGCCCCATTAAACATATAGTTTGCTTCAGTTTTCGTTGCCTCATCAATTGTCATTCGTGACAATATTCACGTCTCTTGCTCGTCACTCACCCTCTCGCGGTGGAAACGGGAAGCGCTCAAGGGACGGTTTCCCGGTTCACCCGCTCAGCGGGCACGGCGGAACCGCTCACCCACATGACTCGCGAACAGTCATTTCTGGATGCAAGCAGCATTCTTCACTGTCCTAACGTAGTGCTGCAGCCGGTATGGAACCGAACCTTACTATAGTCCACTGCCACTCAAGAATGTAGGGCGAGGGAAAGGAAAGCCGGGGAGGAGGAAGCGGGCGGAACGCTGGAGAACAGAGAAGGAAACCTTCTCCTCTGTCTAGCGTTCCGTCTGTTTCCTCCTCCCCGGCCTTCCTTACTTTCGCCCAACCTCTCGAGTTGCAACGCGTATACACGTTGGCAAGTGCGATATCAGGGCGCCGCCATCTTGCCCAGTGGTCCGGCCCTTCCTCCCCCCCCCCCCCCCGAAATGTTCCATTTTTCTGGAACCTCCTCTCCCCCTCAAACAGCATTTTGTCATGGGTGAGCCCCCTCCCCCCTCCCCCCCCCCCCCCCTCCCCGGAAAAAAATCCTGGCTACGTGCCTGTGTGAGACACATCATGAATTAGAAGAGAAACCTAGATTAACATCTGTATCAAAAGTTCGGTCCCAGATAGAAGTCAGTTTCGGTTTCGTTCCAGAATTAAAACGCGCCTCCTGGCGTAAAAAATACGCTAAGCAGCGTTTTTATTTTCAGAATAAAGGGGTGAATTACGAGCCTAACACGCTAGCTTCCTCGTATGAGCGGGAATAATTTGTGTCGCTAAGCGAAGCGAGTAGACGAGACAGGGCTCAGCAACCGGTATACTGGCACGCATGTCTGACCCTCACTATAACCGCCATTTTCGAAAATGAGTGGCGCCACCTATAAGGACAGTTGGAGTCTGGAAGAGAAGTGGGATAGGTTAATAAGTGTTTGTATATGACAAGATATTTATCTCTTTTCGCAAGGCGTAATATTTTGTAACTGTCTATTTTCAGCTTGGGCAAAAATTTGTGCGATCTGTAGATATGACAACTATGTGTTTGTACAAAGTACTGGCTACTTTCAAGAAATCCCCGTTTTATTAAGACATGTGTTGAAAATGTGAGTTGAATATTTGCACTGAATAAACTTTCATTCCGTATAATTAGTAGCAAAGCTCTTGTGGTATAACTTAGAGTAAAGTGCCGCTAAATTACCACGGCTAAATTTAAAAAAAATTACAATAAAATGTCTTACAGGAATCTTAAACGTTATAAGGCAATTAAATTCAAACAATCAAATCAGCGCCAGACTCTACCAATCTTAAATGCTCGCGAAATGATTATTTCAATGTCAAAGTTTCCAATATGACATTTCGTGGATATTGCTGGAAGAGCAGACGGAATTCTAAGTCGTTGATACCCGATAACTTTTCCTAATTAGCATTCAAAGCGAAACCCATTATGTTGTGTTATGACGCCGCAACGCGCCGCTATCGTGCGCCCTGGAAAATATAGATAAGCGCGGCACTCGAGAGAATAGAGAGAATAAAGTGAACCACCGACTGGGTTTCCTCGTTCGCGCTTGTCTGGAACTTTCTAGACGCAGTTTACGAACGAAGTCACGGGATTCAGTCAGGTTTCGAGTTGTTTCGCTTTTACAGCTCGGACACGCATCTTGTCCTTCTAGTCTCTTTTCGCTAAGGGCAGACTGCAGTTTTTTTTTTTTTTTTTTTTTTTTGTGCGGAAAGAGCGGCAGGCAACGCAATCAAGAGCGGAAGGGGATGGCCGCCACTTCGGGAGGCGCGTCTGCAAGACCTGGCCGGACACATCAAATCCCGGCCTTACCGGCAACCCCGGGACGGCAGCACCGGAAAAGGGACTGCCACGCCAGCTCTCCACCCTCGTCGGTCATGTCGGATGCATCTTTCTCCGACGTCGAGTCATGTATGGAAGAAGCGGCGATACCCTTGACCAGTGACAGGCGCGACACCGACGACGGTTTCATCCCCGTAAGGTCCAAGAAAAGTCGGCGAGCCTCAACAAACAGCGGTGACACCGTGGTCTCCTGGGGGTCTCGCACGTCATCTAAAAACGCGGCCAATGGACACAAGGTGCTGTTCCGACCGACAGACAAGACCAGCGTCCGGGCGCTCAGCAGACCTCATTTGAATGCCCTCTTTGGCTCCGTTGCTTCCCAACAAGTCAAGGAGATAAGGGTCAAGGGCAGGAAAAATTTGATAGCAGTCGACGTCCTGACGGAAGAAGCTGTGCCAGCGCTCCTTCAAATTCAAAAGATCTGTGAGACGCCAGTTGACGCACGCGTACCCTGGAGGGTCCGCCACATCGCGGGAGTTGTGCGTGAAGTAGACCAGGCACTGACGGATAAAGAAATTCTGGAAGCCCTGCGGGCCCCAGCTCACCAAGCCCTCGACGTGCGGCGTCTGGGGAAGAGCTCCGCAATCCGAGTCACCTTCGCCGGCAAAGACCTGCCGCACTACGTCCACATGGGGTACGTGCGTCACCCAGTCACGCTCTACGTGGCAAGACCACTGCAGTGCTTTCGATGCAACAGAATCGGACACGTGGCAGCGGCCTGTCAAAAGGAGCAGACGTGCGCCGAGTGCTCGGGCGGGCATGAATCCACGGCGTGTGACAGTTCTCGCTGCATCAACTGCGGAAAGGGCCATGCAGCAACTTCCGGCCAGTGTCCAGTCCTGAGGAAAGAACGCCGTGTGTGCAAGATGCGCGCCAAAATGGCGTACACCCACTCGGAAGCAAAAACGGCTATACGCAAGCAGAACACCGGCAAGGGTCACCGAAACGCTGCGCAAGCAGCGGACACAGAACTTCGCAAGACGAGGTCCCAACAGAGGCTATCCTTAACAGATTTCCCGCCGCTGCCAGGGAGTCAGACCGAAGGGAGGGAGAAAAGGAGGGACCATGATACCACTCACCCTCCAAAGAATCACAGCCGTGGTCTCCGGTCGGACGACACTACGCTGGAGGACAAGGGCTGCCGCTATGCCAAGGTCGCACGAAGGGGTCAGGGCAAAGTTCCCGCGTGACGCCGTCAGCGAAAGTCTCGAGGCTATCGCCCCACAGTCCGCCTGAGCATGCACCATGCGCCCACAACACCAATCTCCCACAACAGTAACTCGTTGTCCTAAGGAAGAGTCCCACCCTAGGCGGAGTGACGTACGAATTGTGCTGCAGTGGAACTGCCGAGGCCTCTCCGTCAAACACAGTGAGCTCAGCCTGCACCTGCAACGCTATCCCAGCCCTGTGCTTTCACTCGCAGAAGCAGGGTTACCAGGGAAGCAAACTTTACCTGGATACGTGAAACTTACAACCCAATCCATACCAAGTTTCCCTCATGGGAGCGCGGCTCTTTTTATTCGACGAGGGGTGCCTCACGTCCCAGTTGACACCAGCCGACTGTGTACATTATCGGCTTAATTCGGGGCCGCAAAAGTCAGCCCCGGAAATCGCTCGCTGCATGTACTCGTCGGATACGTACGTGCCGATGGTACGCTGTTTTCGACAAAGGACATTTTAGAGTGATGTAAAGTCATTGAGGGAGACCGTTTACTGTGCGGCGACTTCAATGCGCACTGCGACGCATGGGGAAGTCAGAAAACCAACAAGCGCGGAGACGCCCTCAATCAAATGATAGAAGAGCTCGGACTGGTTGTCGCAAACAACGGTGCGCCTACCTTCTTCAGGCCCCCTCGAACGTATAGTGTCCTCGACGTCACAGCACACACACCATCGCTGGAGCTGACTTGGGAAACAGCACCAGATACCAGAGGAAGCGACCACTTCCCCATTCATATCACGATAAAGGGGTGCCAGACGGCCCGAAAGGTGACGCGATCGTGCACGAGCTGGGACGTTTTCCGTGCATCCTTGGACCTCACCCAAACAAACATCCCAAAAGCAATCGTTCACGCGCTGCAGGCGGCAACGCGCACGTCCCGTGTCTCGGAATGGCTCCCCAAACCGGACCTTACTTTCCTCAATCTCCAAGCGGCACGTACCAGGGCGCAGAGGAAGTACCGCAGGACAAACAATCCAGCGGATAAGTCCAAGTTCAACAGAATATCAGCCAAGCTGCGAAGACACGCTAAAGCGCTGGTTAGAAATAGATGGAAGCTCATGTGCAAAGACGTCAACGCACCCACCTCCCTCGCGAAGTTGTGGGCAGTACTGGGGGCCATGACCGGGAAACGTCGGACAAGACACGCTTTGCAAGTCCTAGCGCTTGCGGCTAACGTAACACTCGTGGATGCAGCAGAGAGACTAGGCGCACTGTACGCCCCCGCAGAAGCGACGGAACGACCGCTGGCACCCGACGCTGCGCCTGGGCCCCTAGATGCCCCCTTTACTGCACCGGAACTCCAAAGCGCCCTCCGAAAGTGTCGTAAGAAGACTACAGCTGGGCCCGACGGGATCCTTTACCAGTCGCTCACGAACTTAACGAACGACGCACTCGAGGCCCTCCTCACCTGGTTCAACTCCATATGGAACTCTGGCGACGTCCCAAAAGAATGGAAAGTAGCAACGATTGTTCCACTACTGAAGCCAGGGAAGCCCCCAGACAAAGCTGAGTCTTACCGCCCAATCTCGCTGACCTCGTGCATAAGTAAGCTGTTCAAAAGACTTGTGCAGGGGCGCCTTCGGTGGTACCTGGAAGAACGCATGTGTCTCCCGGAGTGCATAACTGGCTTTAGGAGAGGGTTGGCAGCAGAAGACAGCATCCTGGACCTCCCGAGCGACCTTGAGGAAAACAAGAACAGGCGGAGAAACACGGTGGCAGTCTTCCTCGACGTGGAACGAGCCTACGACGGCGTGCCGCCATCCACTATACTCCGGAGATTGACTGAGATTGGACTGACCGGAAAAATTCAAGTCTTCCTGGCCAATTTTCTTACCGGACGCAAGATCCAGATTCGAGCTGAAGGCGCGGCATCCTCGCCAAGACTGCTTCACAGAGGTCTGCCTCAGGGAAGCGTGCTAAGCCCGATTCTTTTCAACATGGTTATGACACCACTACCGCTCTCTCTTCCTTCGACCCCTCTCCCGGTTCAGGTGTCGATCTACGCAGACGACATCTGCCTCTGGGTTACGGGCATCTACACCACGCAGATCCACCGCAGCATACAAAGCACCGTTCAAGCGGTAGACACCTTCCTGACCAAATCGGGGCTATCCCTCTCCCAGGATAAGGCAGTCTGGATGCCGGTGCGCGGAAATGGTCGACGTTTTCGCCCCCCTGACATCAAACTCGCAGGAAAACCCCTCACGTGTGTGAACAAACAACGCTTCTTAGGAATTGTCATCACAAGTCGGCTGCGCTGGGCACAAGCAGTGAAAGCGACAACCGCCGTATGCATGGCCGGCCATGAACGCTGTCCGCCACATGACGGGTACCACATGGGGTTGCACAGAAAGGACCATCACTAGCGCCCAGTCCGCGCTGGTGACGTCTAGAATCCTGTACCGGCTTCCTTACATGTTCCCGTCCCAGACGGATATGGAGAGGCTGGAGCAAGGGCACAGACGCGGGCTACGTACAGCACTGGGAATTCCCAGCGCGGCCAAGAATGCTGTGGTACTCCAGGAAGCCGGCGCAGAGCCGCTTAGAGTCCAGGCCAGAGCCAGAAGACTCTCCCAGTTAGCCCGGCTCTCTACGACTCTCCCAGGCAGGTGGTTCCTGCAGCGAATCCAAGCTCGGACCAAAGGGTCATGGCACGACACGGTAGAAGATTTCCTTAACATAGCCGGCCCGCTACCGACGATGACGAGCGAAGCAAGGGTAGCGCCCTGGGAAGTTGCCAAGGTATCCAGTGAGCTACGGATCAAGCGCCTGCGAGCCAAAAAAGTTGGACCGATCAACGCTCTTAGAGAAGCTGTGGAAAAACACATCGAAGAACGCTAGGGTGGTTGGCTGCAGATATACACGGACGGCTCTGTAAACAAGGCTAGAACATCCAGCACGGCAGCTTTCTACATCCCGGAGTTAGCCCTGGAATGGTGCGGCAGGCTACAGGCGCCTACATCCTCCACGACGGCCGAGCTAGTGGCTATTGACAAGGCCCTCAAGCGGCTGCCCAGCTGTCACCTC